TCCTAGTTAGTAGGTCAAGAATTTGTGTGTCTATACAGAGAAACATTGGCCTCATATTTAACTAACTAGCTGAAAAGAAAGGACACTTCAATGGAATCTTCTGTTATAAAGAACACACGTGCCAATGCAATTCAAATCACACCGTGCAGTGCTCACATTCCTAGAGACAGAGCTCTGTCTTCTATACTCCCCATATCTTCTTGGTTAAATACCATAAGCTCTAAGTATCTGAACAAGTTTAGCCTTACATTGATTTTCATAGAATGATCTGATCATGAGAATTACTTTTTAAATGTATTGAAGATAACATAAATAAGACTTCCATGATCAGAGTACAAATAAAGCTCAAATTTTTTTGCTGCTTTCATTTAAGTATTTTTAATATAAAAACCAAGAAATAGAATACTTTTCCAAATGAAAACCTCTTTGAGACATCATTGTTAAATTTTTACAAGACCAAAATTAGCTTTAGCTTTCATAGTAGAGAAAAGCTTGTATATAGACATTGACACAGATATAATAATAATAACCATATTATTGTTATTGTTTTATTATTTCTATTTTATATTATTAATATTTCTTCTTTCATCTCTAAAGTTACCTTGAAGAGTTAGTTCATAACCCTTTGAGCTTATAGACAGAAATCATCTTTAGGGTCTTCTCCTCTAGGGTCTTATTACCAGAAACCACCATATCTTACTTACCTTGCTTCTCTATGGAAGCAAATGCCATTTCTGAAAGTCTTGTTTTACTTGCATGGGGGCTGAACCATTTAAGAAGGGGTGTACTGCTGTAAGCAGGAGTGACATTTCTTGCCTTTTACCCCCTTTCCCTCTTCTGAAGGAAAGAGGACACTCCTCAGGAATGGAAAGCTCACCAGGTGGGTTCTGGAGCTGGCGTCAAAAGTGCCGACTCCATGCCCTACAATGCATTCCATGACATTCACGGCCTTCCCTCTTAGAATGTAAACTTCCATAGAACAAAAGTATCCCTGTCTCTAAATGTTGTATGGTAGAGATTAAAACAGTTTCCCATTAAGAAAAATACATCATGATTTGTGCGGCCAGATGATGTGGAGGCCTACACTGACATTTTCTAATTAGGCATATTTGGAGAGTTACTTAATTCCTTGGAGCCCCAGTTTTCCTTGGGAAAAAAATGGGGATAACTGCTTAACATCTAGAGCTACTGTGATGACTAAATATATGTGTGTCTGTGAGAGTGCTAATCAAATAGAAGGTAATATCATCAGCGAAGTGGCATGTTGATGGATTTCCCAGCTGTTACTCTATCCCTCATTGTGGGAGGGGCTAATTCCAGCAGGTCATAAATACAAAAAGTTCATCAAAAGGTTGGTGATTTACTCTATCCCTCATTTCTGGGGGCTAATTCCAGCAGGTCATAAATACAAGTTCATCAAAAGATTGGTGAACCTTGAGGCTTCAGCAGGGCTGAAGATACATATTATTGCCTGCTGCCAGACAGCTGAGGGCATTTCCCCAGACCTGAAAATCTACATGTTATTACTGCTGCTGGCCAAACAGCTGAACAGCCGAAGGCAGTTCCCCCAACCTGATACTTTACTGCTTACCAAGCTTTACCTTCAATATGTGTGTTTGCTTTGCTTTAGGGCAAAAATGTGAGAATAAAAAGCCCTGGATCTGGAGATTCTGAAAGAACTTAATTACTAAAGCTAAGCTCCATCTGTCTCCCCACAAAATGCCTTCCAAATTTTTATTTCATGGCTAGTTTATTTAATTTACTTGCAGCCCTTCTCCAGATTCCTGAACCCTTCTAGATTCAGAATAACACCCCATCACCTCATGTCTTTAGTTGTGATGGTGGTCTCTACTTTGTGCAGTCTTTGATGCCACTACTGTTGTCATTGGCCATTTCAAAATTCTCTTCTTATGAGAGAAAGACTTTTTTGGAGTGAGTGTTGGTCAACTGCTAGCACTCTTCAGTGTAGTGGAGAGATTTCTTGTTAGCAAGATGACTGGGCATCTAACTCCAGCCCTGCCATTGCCTGTGTGAGCTTGGGCAAATCTCAGCATCTCTCTCAGCCTGGATAATATCCTCATTATTTAGGTGGATTAGACTCTCAACCTTCCTAATGCCGCGACCCTTTAATACAGTTCCTCATGTTGTGGTGACCCCCAACCATAAAATTATTTTTGTTGCTACTTCATAATTGTAATTTTGCTACTGTTATGAATCATAATGTAAATATCTGATATGCAGGATGTATTTTCATTGTTACAAATTGAACATAATTAAGGCAGAGTGATTAATCACAAAAACAATATGTAATTATATATGTGTTTTCTGATGATCTTAGGCAACCCCTGTGAAAGGGTCGTTCGACCCTCAAAGGGGTCGCGACCCACAGATTGAGAACTGCTGGATTAGAGGATCATTAAAATTTTCTTCAGCTCAAAAAGTCTAAGTCTGTAATTACTTTAGAAGTTATAGAAATTTATTGATCCTTTCTTTTTTTTGAAATATTATTTTTATTGCTTAAAGTATTACAAAAAGTATTACATATGTCTCCTTCCCCATCCCACATTTGAAAATCCCCCAGCCTCCCCTACCCCACAGTGGCTTGTTTCCATTGGTTATGCTTATATGCACGCATACAAGTTCTTCGGTTGATCACTTACCTCCCCCTCCTTCCTCCAAACCCTCCCCGGCCTTCCTACTGTAGTTAGACAGTCTGTTCGAGGCAGCTCTGCCTCTGTATCTATTTTTGTTCATCAGTTTATAATGGTCTTTATTATCCATCAATGAGTGAGATCAGGTGGGATTTTTCTCCCATTGACTGGCTTATTTCACTTAGCATAATGCTCTCCCGGGGGGAGGATTAACA